GGCTTGTCAAAGATCAGGTAACGGTAGGTAGCTGGATTCATCTGTTGGCTCTCTATTCTGTTCCATACATCTACCTCTCTATTTTTGTGCCAGTACCATGCTGTTTTGATCACTATGGATTTGGAGCTCTGAAATTTCTAATGCCCAGCTCAGTTATGAGGGACTGAGGTGATTGTCAGAGTGGGCCAAGGCCCCCACCTCAGTACACCCCCAATTCCAGGATCTCAGGCTGGGACCCCATGCTCAGAAAGCCCTTCATTGCCACTGTCACTGCCATACCCACCCTCTCCCTTTAGTTCTCACCACCCCACTTCCCCAGCCTCCCACTCTGAGCTTCCAGAGCACCAGGGACACACCAGTGTGGTACCACAATGGCACACACTTGACTGGAACACCTTGAGATTTACGTCTCATTTCCATACCCAGCCTATCCGTAGCAGATCACCTATCTCACGGCCAGATCCATATGATGGATCGACCCTGAGATAACTTCCTCTGAATCAGAGATTCTCCTGGATTAGTGTGTATGCGGGATGGGGAGCAGGGGCAGCATGCAGGGTGCAGGACTCATTCAGCAATGAGGGCGAGACAGCAGTCTGTGAGGCCAGCAGCATCTGACCTCATCACCCCTATTTGCAGAGTGATCAATGGTGAGACCGACTCAGTGCTCTGCCAGCTTGGCACCCTCTCTGCCTCTTTGTCCTTGTCACAAGGACAATAGCTGTCCTTATCCAGCAGAATAATCGGGGTGGATTAAAAGAGAAAACACAGGGGAAGCCCTTCAGGGCTTTTCATTATTTTGTCTGTGATATTGTTCTGACCTTTGCCCTTCGGTGATTCCAAGGGGTTGCTGGCGGAGTGTTCTGACTCAGTGGGTGCTGGGAGCCTGGTGTAGGGAGAGGAGGAAGTAAAGGGAAAGCATGGCTTGGCAGAGAGACAGCAGGGCAGGGGTGCTCGCTGTGTGTCACAACCTGAGTGGGAGGGCAAAAGGTCACTGGGGGGAGAAGGGGTAGGATGCTTCATCTCGGGTTAGTAATACGCTCAGGGGCTTTTCCACCCAGTCTTTATGTTCTATCCAAGAAATAGCTACGACAGGGATTACTCATTCCATTTACAAGGGAAAAACTGAAACCTCGTAAAACGTGTGTGACCACAAATGGCAGTGTCCTTACCACCCAAATGGACATCTGCATCCTTCTGCAGGAAGGGGTGAAACCCAACAGCCAGAGAGACGAGCTAAAATAAGAGAGAGAGGAGGAAGGTCTAGGAAAGCAGAATGGAAAGGAAGGGACGGATTTAAGAGAAGGAGAAAGTCAGGAGTAGAGGCTGAAGCAGGATTGTGTGAGCCCAGGAGTTCAAGTCCAACCTGGGTAACATGGTGACACCCTGTCTCTTTAGAAAATAAAACTAAAAAAGAAGAGGATGAGGAAGATGGAAAGAGGAGGAGGGGAAGGGGAAGGGCTACAGGCGTGGAAAGAGCTTACTTGGGGAAGAAATGTGGGTGGATGAGTGGGAGGTTCCCAGGGCCCCCGGCTCCATTGCAGACCCTGCCTCCCTCTTGACCTCAATTTCTCCACCTGAGAAGTAGGGTGTTGGCCAGATCTGCATCTCCCCAAGAGTGGGACTACCCAAGTGATATGAGAAGGGTTATTTTTTGTTTTATTTAAATACACTTTGTTATGACCACCTTCTATAGTAAGGGATTTATTTTTATGGTAATGATACAAGGTTTTCCTAAGATAAATATGTGTTGACAAAAAAAAAAAGAATAAAGTGAATAACAGAACTGGTGGCAACTGTGACAGAAATTGTGACAATGGCTCAAGAATATCTGAAATCTGGGGAACCTGGTCAAGGTGCCCTCTGAGGGCTTTTCTCCTGCATTCCATACACCATGGGGAGGAGGGAGAACAGGCCCAGGCAGAGGGAGCATCAGGGAGAGGGCAGAGCTGAGTTCGGCCGAAGCAGGGATGGCAAGGGTGGCTGTCCTGGTTGCCCTCTCTGGGGTGAGCCATGATGTAGCACAGAACCTGACAGCTGGGCCAATGGACAGTCGCCAAGGGGGTGAGGGGCCTTGAAGACATGTCCTGATGAGAAATGACTGGGAGCAGGGGCTGTTACCTTGGACAAGAAATAACTTCAGATACCATGGATGTGTCCCAGGAAGAGGACATTGGATCTGACAGCCTTAATGAGGGTGAAAAGAGACCACAGGGGGAGGTTTGTGATCTCAGGGCAGGGAGGATGGATGGAGGCCAAGGAGCAGCAGATGGTGCTGAGCCCTGGCCACCCAGGATGCTGAGTTCTTGAGACCTTCATCTCTACTAATGATCCCTGTTCTATACACAAGAAACTGAAGCTTAGAGTGGGCAGGGAGGGTGGAGCTGGCATTTGAATGAGTTCTATCTGAATTTGGGGGTGCCTTCCATCCGTGGTCACAGCCTTGATCTTGCAGGTGGCAGGCACACCCACGGTTTGGAGGCACAGTGTTAACAAGGTCGAATCTGTGGTCTAGGGACATGATGGGATCCACTGGCTGGTGTGCTGGGAAGAGGCTGAGGGCAGGGAAACTAATTAGGAGGCTATTGCAGACGTCCAGGGGAGGGACAATGAGGGTCTGGACTGGAGCAGGAGTCAGGAAGAGTTCCCCACACCAGATCAACCTGAAGGGCCCCTGAGAGAGGGAGATGCAGAAACTGGGGCATCCTCTGCCAAAATGCCAGTCTTCACCCCAGCTTGCATTCCAGGTTGTGGGTAAAAAACACTTGCAGTTTCCTTCACACCCACTTCTTGGAAGTCACCACAAAACCCACCTGCTTGGCTCGGCGCCTGTGGCTCAGCGGCTAGCGCGCCAGCCACATACACCAGAGCTGGTGGGTTTGA